GGCCAACCCTCGTGCAGGGCACACACAGCAGCCCTTGTTCCCCTCTGCCGGCGCAGGGTCGCAGCCGCCTGCACAACGGGGCGGCTGTTGGGATGCCAGCGCTGTCCCTGCCGTTGCCAGCACAACCCGATGCTGCTGCAGGACCCGCTGCGTTCTGCTCTCAGCATCCTCCTGATTGCCCCGAGTGTTTGTGGTACCCAGGGACCGGGGGATGCCCACAGGAGAAGCAGGAGGAGGAATGGGGAGGAAGCAGATGGGAGATGTGCTGCTGTCTGCCCTGCCGTGACCCAGATATCAGCACGGAGATGGGCAGGGGGAGAGCGCAGGTCTGGGGATGTGGGGATAAACGGGTTTCAGAAAAGCTTTGCCGTGGTGAGGTGGCATTTGGGAGCAGCCCAGGAAAGGCGGCACAAGGAGGAATTGCTGGGAGAGAAAACCCAAATTAGAATTAATAGGGCACAAATTGTCAGCGGTGAAAGGGATTAGCGCTGGAAAGAGGATGCCCAGGGGCACGGGGATTGGCACCCGGGTTCTGTGCTGCTCAGAGCAGCCTCTCCTACCCCAGCAGCCAGAAGCGAGCCTGCCCCATCCCTGCCCCACTTCGGCACCTTCCATAGGACAGAGCTCCGGGCACCGAAAGAACAGAGCAGCGAGGGAGACAGGATTCCCTCCAAACCCTTTGGGTGCTACTGGGAAGCAGGAGGGGATCCCACAAACCCGACCCCACCCCTCACCCGTCTGCAGCCCCGCGGCTGCCCCGCTCCGATCCGCTGTGCTCGGCTGCGGCGGCGGAGGAGGGAGCGACGATGACTCAGGAGATGATGAAGCAGAGCAGAAGGAGGAGAGGAGAGGACGTGGCGGGGAGGCAGCTGCGTCCTTCAGGCCCACACCCACCCCCCGAGACGTGACCGGGAGTGCCCTGACTCAGCCGGGGTGGGGGGGGAGCAGCCCCAGCGTGGACCGTTTTTGTCCCCCTGCTGCATCCACCCCTCCTCCTGCTGGGGTTGGGGGTGCTGGGATCCCCAGGGCTGGATGTGGACACCGCTGGACTCACGGCTCGGGTCCATCCAGCCCCACTGGCTCTTGCCACTGGTGCCTTCACCGCTGGAATCCTTCTGCTGGCAGACCTGAAGGAGCCTGAGCAGATTTCCTGCGTGGGGAAACTGAGGCAGGGAGACACCAGACTTACAATGGGGACAGAGGGAAGGTGGGAGTCCGCTCCCCAAGCCCTCCCCTGCATCCACCTTTCTCAGTGGGGTGACCCACACTGGGGCTGCATGCTGCATCCCTTATCCACTGCATCCCCAGCCCTCCCTGGGAGCCGAGCCTTGGCACAGGGAAGGAGCTGTTTATACAGAACAAATGGAATCCATCAAAACAAAAGGCATTGGGCCTGCTTCTATTTATTCCCCATCCCAAGCTTTGAAGTACAGCTTTATACACCCATGGCTATTGAGAGAAAGGGAACCCACCGCGGCAGGGATGCCGATGCGAGTGCCCAAAGCAGAGCTCAGGCGCGCGTTCCCGGAGCACTGCGGATTCTCTCAGCCCGGACAGGAGCTCAGAGCCCGCACAGCCCGCTCCGCTCACCCCACCCGGGACCACGGGCGCTGCCCTCCGTGCTCCCAACCGGAGAACTTCCCCGTGCCGCGGCCGACGTCTCCCCCTGGCGGTCCCGGCCACGCGTGGGTGCCGCCGGCTGCGCTTCAATGCGCTCCAACCATCCTCCAACGAGCCCGCATGACGAGCGCTATGCAGAGGGGAGGTTCCCGGTTATGCAGACCACGCGATGCCCGCAGCATGCAGACACCCCGAGCTGCAGGCTGTTCCCCAGAGAAAGGTTTGAGCTGGCCGTGCACGCAGCAGGATGAGAAGGGCTTTGGTCGGCATCACCGTGGCCCGGGTCACAGTCCCTGCAAGCTGAACCAGCGTCACCTTTCAGACAGAGAGGAGATCAGTCTGTTTCCCATTTCATTTTTCCCATTTGATCTTCTGAAAACTTCATTTAAAAAGATAAATAATAAAGAAATAAAAGCCGCCGCCAACCGAGGCAGAGGGCGAGCGGGGAGATGCGGCGAGCAGGGACCGTCCTGCCACGAGGGGGAACCCCTCGGCTGGAGAAATGCGTTCTGAAGCTCCGCACAGAGGCACGAATGATTCGGGCAGGGTACGATGCTCGGCTCCCACCCGTGCCGGCACTCCGCCAGCCCCAGCGCACCGCAGCGCTCACACCGTGCGCATCCTGTGCCAAAATATCCACGTGTTGGGCATCAGCGACGCAACAGAGCACAGCCCTGCTGCAAGAGCTCTGCTCTCATCCCGCGGCTCCTCCAACCGCCCCCTGCCCCAAAGAAGCACAGCCCTATGGCTGCACGCTCTGGCTCTCTGGGATTCCCATCCACTCCCAGCAGCCGACCGGGTCAGGGATGAGGTTCAGATGCTGCGGGGGAGGGCTCAGAGCAGGGCAAGCTGCCTTAGCCTCTAACAACACCACCAGGAAAATCCATGGGCTCTGCGTGGGTGGGTCAGGCAAGCAAGGACAGCCAGGACAGTGGCATCATTATGGTGATGAAAAACCAGAAGGATCCACAGGACAATGTAGGAGGCATCCCGCAGCACCCACACTGACATCTGTGGGTACCACTTGTGCTCCATCTGAACCCCACTCTCTGAGCAGAGCACCCAGCACCCACCCCAGAGCATTTCCCTCAAAGGCCAAAGAGATGTGGGCATCAGGAGAGAAGGGCAAAGCAGAGAAAGGGGAAAAAAGATGCCATGAGGAGGATGGAAAACCAGAGACGTGGACCAGCAGGATTAGCAATGCTAAACTTGCAGCTAAACAGGGCTTATGTCAGCATGTATTACCCGAGAGTGGCAGGAATGATGGGCTTGTTCGTCTGCCCTTTATAAGTGGCAAATTCTCCCTCCATCCTGTTTGCTATGAATTAACTGGCATATGTCTAATCGCCTTTACGAGTGCAACTCGACTGGTAGATTACAGCCCTGCTCCTCCTCCAAACCCAGCTCACTGCTGTGCTCAGCACTGCAACCTGGCTGCAGCCGGGCACCAGGAGGGCACGGGGCACAGCCCCAGCAGAAAATATCATGCAGTAACACACCAACAAACCCCGCTGCTATCAGTCACCAAGGCAGTCTAGACACTGGTGCCATGAGATAAGCCCTGCAAATGTGTCACCTGGTAAACTCATCTCAGAGGTGGGGACAAGGAGACATCGCCAGTGGCTGTGTGAGTGATCAAGGAGAGCCAGACTTCTGACTCCTCACCCAGCAACCTGCAGTGTGTGAACACAGTGCTGATTTCCATGAGAGTCACAAGGAGCATTAAAATCTGCTTTACTTAGGCAGCCCTGCTAGCAGAGAGCCAGCATGGTGAAACCCAAAGCAGCTATTAAACAAGGAAGGAGGTGATGCTTTGCTGTCACCAGCTCCATGTTCACCAGCCAGAGCCCAACCTGCTGCTCTGCGTGGCTCTGCCATCTCCCCGGCCGGTGTTGGCAGGGGAAGCGTGCAATGGAACGTGATGATGCCCAGCTGGCCTTGTGCTGTGCTGGGGGATGGGGAAGGGGAGAGGAGCTGGCTGTGAACAGAGCAGCAGGACACAGCGTGCCCGAGGGGTGCTTGCTGCCTGATGGCTCGGCCAGATGCTGCTTGCACGAAGGAAGGGCTGTGCACAGTGAGCTGCCTTGTGTTGTGCTGGGGATGCGGGTGGAGGCTGAGCATCCTTCCTGCATTGGGAGGATGCTGAGAGCCAGGCAGGTAGGGATGCTGGGGGACGTGGTGCTGGAAGCCAAAGGAGAGAGGGTCTCTATGTGGGAAATCTGAATCAAGGCCTTGTTTAATCAGTGTTGTTCTCATCTCCAGCCCTGGTAAGTGAGATTGGCTCATGGCCCTTCCTCGTCCTGCAGTGAGCTGGTGTTGGACAGGAATGATCCACGCAGGGCCAGCCCCCAGCGCCTTGTGCCTGCCCCGTGAGCTCCATTCCATGCGAACCACCCAGAGAAAGCTACCTCTAATTAGAGGGTGGCGTTAAAAATATCCATTGTCCATAAACAGAGGGAGGCAGACAGGGAAAAGGCACATGCCAGAGTGACTGACGCCCCGGGAGGGAGACGAGATTAGGAGCGACTCAGCCTCACACATACACAGCATTCAAAATAGACGAGCATATGCCTGACATGAACCAGGGAAGAGCGATGGGGCGGGTGTAGGAGTGGGGTCATGGGCTGTGACACTGGGAAGCAACAGCTTGTCTAGACTGTGGCTGGCAAAAAAAAAAAAAGAGATGCTGAATTAAGCTCAGAGAGGCACTGCAATGGGAGCACATACACAATGCCGTGTCCTCCCCCCCTGTCCCATGGGCCTGGCATAGCACAGCATCACCGAGAGGGAGAGCTGGCACTGACCTGCCACAGGGGAAGGTGCAGATGGACAGCTCAAGGCTACAGATGGCCTCACACAGGTGTCACAGCTCAGTGCCAGCATCCTCAGGGCCACAGAGAACAGCATTCCTGCCCACGTGCATTGCTGTTGGAAGTGACCGTGACAGGCGCAGGCTGTTGGAGCAGCTTCTTCCCAGCAGGGCTTGAACCTCCATTCAGCCCTCCAGGCACTACGAGCTTGGAGAAGATGGCCATTCCCTTTGAGCTGCCTTCAGACCTCAAACACTGTGTGTACACCCCTCTCCCTACAGCCTTCAGGTGTTCCTCTCCCATTTTGCTCCCCATCACCTTCCTCCCCTCCTTGCAGTGAGAATGCCCATCCCTGCTCCCTGGCAGAGCATGCTCTCCTTCCCTCCCCTCCTGCAGATTTCTTGAGGGTGAATGGGAAGAGCTTCAGCAACGGATGAGATCATGGGAAGAGGCAGTTTAGTGCTGCCCCTCATCACGCCTGACTACATCCCTGCATGCACAGGGCTGCTCTCAGTGCATATTTTATTCTAGCTACTTGTTTCACCGCTAAATAATGAAAGGGGAGCTCCATTTGTGTGTGAAAATCAATGTTGTACACTGCAGCACTTTGCCATCCCGGTTTGACGGGCACAGTGGTTCTCATATAATATTGATTGTGACTCCTTTTGCTCGCCGATCTCCAATGGCTCTGCTGCGCCATGACACAGCCGTGGGGCAGCACACAGGGATGGGCACATAAATGAGGTGATGTTCCCGATCTCATGCCCGAGTGTTGTCCTCTGAGATCACTGATTGCAGCCCGTGTTGCTGGATTTTACATCTCTATCCCTTCAGTCTAAAGGAAACAGGTTAAAATGACTCTTTGCTCAATGGGGACCCGGCCCAAAGATTGGTGCTGCTGGGCTGGAAGCCATCAAGTCTTATTGAGTGAGTCCATCCCCCGCATCCTCACTGAAGTGTCCCATCTGGCCATTAGGACTGATGAGTGCCTTAGTATTAATTTCACCAGGCTCAGATCAGCCCTTCAAGTCTCCTCATTAGCATTGAGAGTTAGATCCACCACATTATCAAGTTAAATACGTTTTTACATCCCTTAATTTCTACCCATTTTGCCGAGCTCGTGGAACAGAGAAGAGCTTGGCTTTCATTCCAGCTGCTTGATTTTCAACAGCATCTTAATTACATCCCCATCACAGCGCACTGACAGCCGGTGACGCATGAGCCAGCACTCACCCAGCCTGACTTCAAATCACAGAATGGTTTGGGGTGGAAGGGACCTTACAGTCCATCTGGTCCCACTCCCTGCAATGCACAGGGACACCCAAAGCTCCATCAGGTGCTCAGAGCCGCATCCAGCCTGAGCCCGGCTCTTGCAGGGGACCAAATGGAGCAGGGACTCGAGCGTCCAGTGCTGAGAAGTGCCTCGTTAACCAAGGGAAAAGGCTCTGAGATGCTTTTGGGGACCATACAGAGACTCGGGGTGGATTCACTCAGCACAGCACGGGACGCAGCCAACTCCTGGAGCGGAGCTCCCTCCGCGATCCCGATGGCTGTTTGCGTTTCTCCCTCCCCTTAACCAGACCAGAAGTTTGCACTGCCGCTGACTGCACATCTTCCGCCAGCTTTCTCAAGGCACACCCCCACGGACGACCCTTTTTAAGTCTCCACCGCTCTTTTAAAAACACTCGAACCTCCCCCCATCTCACAGCACGACTCGGATGAACCGAACCCATCCACACCCCTGGGGCCGCCCCACTCCGTAACCTCGCCGTGCCAGGCTCCGGTCCCGCACCTCCCATCCCGGTTACCGCAGCAACGGCAGCGCGGCACCCCCCGCCCCCGGGCCGCCCCCCCCGGCCGGGCATTGCGCAGGCTCAGCGCAGGGCTCGGCTCCGCACACCCCATCATGGCGCTGCGGCGGCCGGCGCTTCTCTTGCTGCTGCCTTTGCTCGGTGAGTGCCGGGCATCGGGGATCGAGCCGGAGATCCTCCGAAAGGTCTTCGGGGTGGGGAAATGCGGGGCGGATGCTTAGAAGCGGGGGGAAAGGGATGCGGTGAGAGCGGAGGTGGGCCGGGAACGGGGATGCGCCGCTCCGATCCCGGGGAGGGGAGGGATGCGCTGCTCTGATCGCCATCCCGAGCAGCGAGGGGGATGTGCCGCCCTGATCGCCATCCCGGGTGGGAACGGGGTGCGCAGCCCTGCTGCCGGGGAACGAGGGGGATTCGCTGCCCCGAAGCCGGAGAGGAAAGGGGACGGGCTGCCCTGATCCTGGGGAACGAGAGGGATGTGCTGTTCTGACCGGGGTCCCGGCGAAGTGAGGATGTTCTGCCCCTGTCCCATCCCGGGGTGAGCAGAGATGGGAAGGATGCGCTGCCTCCATCCCAAAGCGGACCCCGAGGGGCGCTGAGCCGTGGGATGGGATGAGAGGGGGAAGGCAGCGAGGAGCTCAGCAAAGAGCGGGTCCAGGGCTGAGGGTGCCAGGAATGTGCAGCCTCGGCAGGCGGGCAGGGCGGACACTAGTCCCTATTCAAGCTCAGGCACAGGCGCCTATTGTTCCGGGGGCCCGCATGAATGTTTGCAGTTTTAATTGCAAAAACATTTGCTAATTCCGCTCAGGAATGAATTTGGGCTCATTTGTTGTCTGGCTATTAATAGCAGGGGGATGAAAAGGGGGGAACAGCAGCCGGTGGGCTCTCAGTGCCCCCCCCTTCCAGGCAGGCGGCAGAAGGAGAAGGGATGGAGGGAGGTCAGAGTGCCAATCAGCAACTGGCTTGGAAAGTTCAGCCACTGAGATACACGGGGCTGTGCACACAAATAACTGCTTGGGGTCAGCTCGAGACTGGAGTGTATTGAAATATTTCAGCCAGTTTATCTAAGGACAAAGGAATTCTTCAGTTCCTAATGATTTTCAGACTTTGGGGCTTTGAATAAAGTTAAGATTTGGGATCTTTTCCCCCCCAAATTAAGAGGAGGGGTGAGAAGATGTGAACATTCCACTGGGATGAGACATGCACTTGGGGCTCTGTTCACTTTGCTGTGGTTTGAGGCTGAACTGTTTGAGTACCTGGAGCATCACAGTCATCCAGGTCCCAACTTCGGGTTTGTGTGTTCCATTTGAGTGAGGAAAAAGAGCAGATTTCACCCAACTTCTCTTGCAGTTGGGCTGCAGGGCACCTTCCTCTCCTCCCTCTGTGCTGGAGCAGTGCTTGAGAGTCCTGTTGAATCTGGCCTAAAAAATAGCAACCTGGAAATGAGCTGCAGCTACTTGTGTGTTTCTTTTGGAGTTGCTAAATGCAGGCAGACCCCACTGCTTTCACACCTCCACCTGGGAGTTTTCATCTGGCAGGCAGGAGGGTTTGCTCCCCATTTAAACACAGTGGGTTCTGCAGTGCCTCAACCTGCAGTGACTTCCAGCTCTCTTCAGGTTTGGAGATGTGGAAGGAAGAGTGGAAGGAAGAAGGCTGGGGATAGAAACTCTTGTTGCACTGCACTTGTGTTAGTGAACCGGGAGGAATCCCACATTAAAGGTGCACTGAAACCTGCAGGGTTGGTGCTGGGTGGTCCCATAGGGCTGTGTTCAATGCCAGCCCACTGGCTGTCAGAGAAGGAAGGCAACAAGGCCAACGAGATGCTGCAAAACTGTTTTAGGGGCTCAGTGTGCTTCTTAGGCTACAGAGCAGGGATGGCCTCTGCGCTTCTCTATCCAGAATGGACCCAACTCTTGGTCATGGCCTCAGAGCAGTGCCACAAAACAGAAGGCAGTGAAGCATGGAGAGTGCAGTGTGTACCCCGCTCCAGGCACTAAAAGCATCTAAAGATTCTGCACATGAGGGAAATGCCATGGCCATAATTATGCTAGCAGAAATTATCAGCATCAGTGGTGGAAAGCAGAGCTTTAACCCACATCCACAGTACGTCCTGCCCTGATGCCTCTGCTGCAACCTTCCCTTGGAAATCAGCATTTGGATTCGGAGGATTTCACGTGTCAGACTGAGAGCAGAACCGTGGAGCCCTTCCCAAAATTCACAAGTATTTCCTGATAAAAATAAAACACGTCCTCAATGGGGAGACAGGACGGGTCCCTGGCGCGCTGCAGCGTGAAAGCTCAGCTCAAATCTCCCTTTGCTTTAACCCTGAGGTTTGGTTACTCTGTTAGATTTTGCAAAGTGTATTTCTCAACCTACCAAATACAAGTCCTCATTTCCCTTTTTTTTAATATATATATATATGTGTGTGTGTGTGTGTGAAGTCCATCTGTCCCAGCCACCAACAACTGTTCCGAGTCAGCTGTCAGCAGCACGAATTGCTTGGTGCAAACACTGCTGGCTCTGCTGCAGCTCTGATGTTGCTCCTTGCTGATGGGAACTATTTGCAGCATTGCTTTCTTTTCACCAGGCACTGAGAAAGCAGGACAATCAGCTCCGAGAGCAGTGCCAAAATCAGATGCTTAATAAATGTCTTCCAAAAAATTCCTAAGGAGGGCTTGGTGTTCCTATTCAGGCACCACCACCGCAGAGCTGTTGGATCCCATCAGCTTTACAGCTGTTGACAAAGAACGTGACACCGGCGCATTCCTTTTTGCTCGGAATGCTGTTGGGAATGAGTTGGTTATCGAGGCACGAGTTGATCCAGAGAGTAAAATGTGGGGTTTCTGTAGGGAGAAGGAGCTGAGGATAGAGATGCTGCCCCGGTGGTGAACTTTGGTTCCTCACTGATGTGTTTATTTTCCTTTAAGGGTTGAATTCCGGGTCTCCCCGCCTGCTGGGTTGTTTTTCACTTATCCATCCCCACACACTGAGGGTTTGCATCAGGAACACAGGCCGGGCTGCCAGACCTCACCTAAACAATTAAATACAGCAGCATGAGCTGCTGCATCCAGCTTCACAGATACAGGCAATGGCTGCTCTGCATCTCCTGCTGCTTTGCTCCCATCTTTTGCCAGCTCCCCACTCACTCTTGCTTTCCCCACAGCTCCCATGGGTGATGATTTAAGTTTCTCTTGCAGGCTGTGCTCCCCGTGTTATCACTCTTTGCAGTGCTGCCTGGTACAGCAGAGCTGGCCTCCTGTTGCACACTTACACCTAAGAATGCTTCATGGTTGATTGCACTGAGCCCTGATGGAGCTCCATCACTGCTTACCAGGCAGCCTAGGAGTGGTGAGAGGGAGTTAGCAACATTTGTGCAGGATCCCATGTCCCAAAAAACCCGATAAACATGCCTCTCAGCTGCTCTGTGCAGAAAGCTGGTGGCCTGCTTTGAAACCACCGTGTGTATTAGAGATGAACTCGTGATATGAAATTAATTAGGATAATTGCACGCTCAATCTGGCTTCGCTATCAGCTAGCATATGAGTCACACCACCTTCTTCCAATCAATGAGGGGTGTGTTTGTCTGCTCCCCATAGTATCAGCAGCGTCGTGCTGTTGGAAATGGCTCAGAATGACAGCTCTGAGCATCACTGTGGCCATGAAACCCACTCCCTGCTCAGTCAGGCTGCAGCCTAAGAACCACTTAATGGCGTTAATTGAGTTAATGAATGCTCTTCATTTCACCCAAGGGGTTGGATTAATGTGTGGGTATGGCTCTGCCAGCAGTTGGGGGCAGAGGAGATAGGCGTTGTGTTTGAGGTCTCAGGCTCCCATGCTGAAAATGCAAGTTGTCAGTGGTAAGAGGACAGAATGGATGGATGGATGGATGGATGGATGGATGGGTGGGTGGGTGGATGGATGGGTGGGTGGATGGATGGAGGAAAGGAAGAAACCTGAAGCAGCTCACATCTGCATTTCTTTTTCACCCTTTGGAACCCCAACCCTGTATTAACCTATTAACCCAGGGTGAGAGGGCTGCCTGCACAACCTGATGCTCTCAGAGACTTCTGGCAATGGGGCACAGCTCTAAGGGTGGCACAGCAAGGCACCCTATGGGCATGGCCTCAATATTGGCCCCATGGGTGACCACCTCTCACCAAGCCCTGCTCCTCCTTTCATACACATGGAGCTCCAGAGGGCTTCCCTGGGGATCAGTGCTGGACGAGGTGTGTGTGCAAGGCGTTTCCTGCCCCAGAACAGCCAGCTGTGGGTCTGTTAGCACTCGAGCTCAGCAGTAGCTGCCTTTGATTGCCTTGCTGTGCCTCTCACTGTAAGAAGCCCTTTGTGTGACTCCTCTGATGGGCTTCAGCTGTCCAACGCACAGCTTGGAAGTTCAAACCAGTGAGACAGCTGCATAATTGAGCTGGTGCCCAGTTCTCATTAGAGCAGCATCCCAAGGCAGGCCTTCCAAATTCCTGGAAGAAGTAGAATGAGGGCTCCAGAGGGTGTTCCTCAAAGCTCCTCTGCTGCACTGGGTGTCCAAGGAGGTTGTGGTTGGTGTTGCATGTTGCAAACCTGACAAGTGGCAGAAAAAACAAGGCAGCAGAGGCAGGAGCAATTCCTTTTTTTTTTTAATAAGTGAGAGCTGGAAAAATAAAACAAAAAAAAAGAAAGAATTCAGCTGCCAGTAAAAATGGCATTGTGTGCTGGGTTACGTGGTGCCCTGATGCAGGATGGAGTGCAGGGCTTAATGTGGGCAGCTGCAAGGGGAAATGAAGGTTTCAGAGCAGTAATAGGTGGAGTAGATGAAATTAAATTCTGTTCAGATCATGCTCAAGCATGTTATTTTTTTTTTTCTTTTTTTTTTTTTAATCATAAATCCCAGGATTTCAGAGTAAAGGCCAGAATGCATTCTAACCTGCTCCCATCGATGTCCTTGATTACTACAACACACAATAAGATCAGCAGGTTTGCAAGAGTCATAGAATCATAGAATGGCCTGGGTTGAAA